TATATATATATATATATATATATGAATGGCAACAGAAGTTTTGCGTCGATTAATTTTATTGATCAACTTACGATTACGATTAAAGATTTTGTAAGAAAGAGGATCCATGCTTTCGACATACTTAAGTTTTCATCATGGTAGGTAGAGACAAATGGTGAATCTCGGAGAACTAGTTAGTGTAGTGATGTGGACAAAATATATAAAAAAAATAAACGCACACCCGTCACACCTCACAATAGTTTCAATTTTTCTTTCTTTTTCATAGGTTGCGTAGAAATCGAAATCGCGTTATATATATATCTATAATATATATATATATATATATATATATATATATATATATATATATATATATATATATATATATATTGATGCAGTTCTGATGAAGCTAAATAGATAAATTTGTTAAATTTGTAAAGGCTTTTCTGCTTCATTCTTATCTAATCACACACATATATACATATACACACACACGCACACATACACACACAAACACACATATATATGTATGTATATGTATATGTATGTGTATGTGCATGTTAGTGTGTGTGATTAGATAAGAATACATATATTTTCCAGGTATAGCACCAGAATTGTCCAAATCGTGTAACAAATTTATACACCCTCAGGTTTTCAGATAAGCCTTTTGGCCATCTTGACATCATTTGTCGAAAGAATAACTGAAAAATCCTTTGAGTTATTCAGCTAAAAAGAGAACAGGTTAAAATCGATTGTGTCAACTCCTCTATGTCTTTCCAAATGAGCAATGGTGAAACGAAAATGATCATTCAGGCCTTCAGTAATCGTATGAATATTCATACTCTGGCCTCCATCTTCGAAGTCCATTCAAGAATGATCAAGGGAACGGTGAATGAGTTTTAAAAAAATTGATTCAAGAGAAAAACTAGATCAGGAGGTCACAAAAGGGAGATGGATCAATTAGAAAAATCCAACTCAATCCATAAGACTTTTGGCACACGAGAGAGGAGTTTCAGTTATGACAGTTTAAAGAGCCGTGAAAAAAGTCTTGAAAATGAAATTATAGTGTGAAACGTGTCAGGCAACTTGTTACTCAAAGATAGAAAGTTAGTAGATTAGAGAGGGCGAAGATCAACGTGAAAAAGTTGGAAAATGATTCTGGTATTATATATATATATATATATATATATATATATATATATATATATATATAATTATTTATTTAAAAATATGATTCCAAATCGCTACATAAGAGGTCTCATGTTTCAAAACAAGAGCCGAAAACTTCAATATAATCCTTTTAAATTAAATTGAGTTGAAATTAAAATGGGCTCCGTTCCATCTTCAAGCGAAATTTTTGTTGAATAACGAATATCTGAAATTTACTTGTTTTAAAAATTGAAATCAAAATCCCCATGGTAACAGCAAGGGTGAATTGTTTAAATTGGGTAGGCGAATGTAGGTGTTAATAATAAGTAGCGGTATAGAGATACTTTCAAGGTGTCAAGTCGGGGAAAGTTGGGGTGTCAAAAAAAGAAACGGAAGATGTATTAATTTCGTTTAGTTTGCTAGTCTATGGATATTTATTTATTTATTTTATTTTATTTATGAAAGGGTATTGTGCATATAAAAAAAGAAAAGCTTTCGTAACGCTTGTTTTTTGACGATTTTCATAAAGGGTTATCTCTTATGTAAGGTATTTAAACTCCTAACTTGGGCTATGGATTATGAAGGGTGTTATGTTGTATGCATGTTTGTAGTTAATCATTCCTACCATGAATCTGATGATCGGGCTATTTGTTAAACAAGTTATATAAATTTTTTTTATTTTTTTTTTTTTTTTATCTAATAATTCAAACCAAAAATCTGATGATGCCTACAGAAAACCGTTAACTCGTGTCTATTATTTAATAGATTATTATTATTTAGAAGTTTAATAATATGCAATTTTTCATGGAGGCACAAAGGGCATGGGTCATCCCAAGCTTTACATATTCTAGCCTTGTCAATAATTTTCTATTTAACTTTTGGTGTCTTATTTGTTTCCTTCAGGTGCCAAAAATATTTTGATAGTGAAGTCTGATTTTTTTTTGTTTATATTATTAAAGAGCACTTTATGCTGCCTCCATCTATCTTTTTAAAATTATTCTTCGTGGACGCAATGTATATCATATTAGTGCTAGGGCTCTCTGTGGATGAAATAGTACATTGGTATACCACAGAATTAATACAACATTTATTTTCTAATGGGCAGTCTTCTGGGTTTCTACAGTTATATAATTTTCCTTTTATCGTCTGATTTAAGTGCAGAGTTTTTATTAATACTGTTTTGGCATGGGGGTTTGTTCAAGATCTTATTATTGTGTTTTTTTTATTATGCGTTCAAGATTACCAGAGCAGCTGTAGCTTAATTTTAGGGTGTTCTTATTGAATATATTACTAAGCTTACTATTGGTGGGGAAGTGTTTATTAATTAGAGCTAAGAATTTCTGTCCTAGTTTAATACTAACTCTTTGGTTGAACGGAGGGGTGTACCAAATGATATTTTCTTTCTGTTTTTTTTCCTATGTCCAGTGTAAATTTTATATATATATATATATATATATATATATATATATATATATATATATATATATATATATATATATATACAGGTAAGATGCGAACGAACAGTGTATAATTCCAATGTTCGTAACATTTAATTTAAAATAGGGCACAATACAAAGATGAGCAATATTATTTATTTTAGGATATACAATTCCAGCAAGATATCTTTAATCATTATTGTGATACAACGGTTGAGAGTTTAATCTAACAATTGGACAATTTTGCTGTTACACGCGGCACCCCCCCATATATATATATATATATATATATATATATATATATATATATATATATACTGTTTCATTAAAAACGACAGACAAGGTACTACGAATTTTTATTTAATTTTTCTTGTGTTCGAACAAATGTTTTTGGGATACAGAGGGTGTAGAAAATGCCCAAATGTTGTATAATTTCGAACACTTTCGGCTATACTTTTAGCCATCATCAAGGGTGATTTTATTTTTTCAACTTAATTGGATATATGGGTTGTGTGTATGTTTTTAGCGTTATAGAAATAGTTTATTTTCCGAACACAGAACGTTGTGGTTGTGTTCATAGATAATGTTATTAAGTGTTGGCTTTCTTTCATTATTTTTAATCTTTTTTTTTTTACAGGTGAATGAGGTTACATAATGGTTCAGTGTGACGCTCATAGAGTGGATTTGTAGCAAAAGATAGACTGATAGGAAGCAAGAAGAAAGGAGATACTATCAATTATAAGAAAACAGAATATATGGCCGCCAACAGGAGAAACACCCCAACATTCGAACTACACATTAAATGCAAAAATCAAGGAGGTACTATACTTTAAATATCTCTGAAGTATTTTACAGAAGAATGGATAATGCGGTACTGAAATCCGAAGTTCCACTGAAATAAGGAAATATGACATCTAAAATCTAAGCTAGGTATGAAGCAACAGGAAAATTTCGTTAAAACATCGAAAAGAGTAATGTTATAGAGTACTATAAAGTAATATTGTGTGATATCAGTACTTCTTTATGGCAGTGATTGTTGGACAATTTTATCACAGATTTAGCAACCTGAGGCCTCAGAGATGATGTTCTACAGGAGGATGCTGAGAATATTCTGGACTGAATACATGAATAACGATTAGGTTTTAAGTAAAATGGAAATAAAAAGGACAGAAAAAATTTAAAACCAGAAAGAGACAATTAAAATTTTTAGGACAAAATGAGGAAAGACGCCTTGGAGAATTTGACACTCATTAGACAGATTTAAGACAGACGGGCCAGAGGAAAGACACAAGTAAACTATCTAACGATCTATCTTGTGTAAATGAATGCAAAAAAGGGATTGGAAGAAATAAGGGAAAGAGAAAATTTAATAATATATATATATATATATATATATATATATATATATATATATATATATATATATATATATATATATATATAAACCTGATTTTTTTTTTTTTTTCACACAGTAATAACCATGTTTCAAAAATGGAAGGTAAAACCTTTAAATTTTATTTTGTAATTTAAATTAAAAACATTACTTCCATTTCATCCTCAAGCGAATTTTGGAATTACATATCTTACTGTTTTTTTTTTTATTCAAATATATATATATATATATATATATATATATATATATATATATATATATATATATATATATATATATATATATATATATATATATATATATATATATATATATGAATGAAGAAATATAGTCTTAAGGTGTGCTATATTTTTGGGATAAAATGCTCTATATCAAAGATAGAGCGTGTAATATAAAAGAATATAGAAGTCAACACTTGAGGTGATAATTTGTTTCATGTTATACGCAATCGTCAGGCCACGTCGGGCCTGACGATTGCATCTAACATGAAACAAGCTGTCGCCTCTAAGTGTTGACCTTATGTTCACTTTTATATATATATATATATATATATATATATATATATATATATATATATATATATATAAGGATATGAATTGTGGAGAGCAATGACCACCAACGTCCTGAACGAACACGTCATAATAGAAGAATAAAAGGATAGATATTTCGGTCCTTACTGGTTAGAATGAAATTTATTATCTTTCACCTAGTGTCCTATCTTTCTGTTTGTTTTTCTTGGTTGACCCTCTTTCTATATTTGTCATTCACACAATCAAGCCCAATTTCCTTCGGCGGTCTGTTAATCCTGTCTCTTGCACGCTTTTTTTCCACAAGACAGACGGCCCATGAGACGATTAGCGTTAATCTTTACAAGGGAACGGGAGCTGCATCTCTCTTTCACTGGAGTTGCCTTCTCTTCAGTCTATTTGCCGATCCCGAAACCGCCATCAACGTTGGATCGCCAATCAATCAGGGGGATAATATTAATGAAGGACAAAAGCAGGAATTATCTTTGCAGGGTCAAGACGGAAAGCCGATAAGAATCATAGCAAGATGACAGAAGAAAAAAGAAGGAAAGGAAGAAAAGAAGATGGAAGAGGACGAAGAAAATTGACACGTTCTGACGAAGAGAAGAATGAGGAGACAAGATGGCAGATTTTCTGTAAAAGTCCATAAGACCGATAAGAGTTATAGTTAAATGACAGAAGAAAAAGAAAGAAAAGAAGAATATTGAAAGAAAAGAAAGAGAAGAGGACAAAGAAAAAGAAGAGAAGAAGAAAAAAGAAGAAAAGTAGCAGGAAGTAGAAGGGAAGGAAAAAGGGGGTTAGATGAAAGAAGAAAGAAAGAAAGAAGAGGAAGGAGAAGAATAGGAAGAAGAATATGAGGAAGAAGAGAAGGTGGAGGAAGTGGAATAAGATGGGGGGAAGAAGAAGGGGAAGAAGAAGAAGAAGAATGGGAGAAAGAATTTTAGCTGGGAGAAGAAGAAGAAAAAGAAGAAAAAGAAGAATTAGAAGAAGGAAGAAGATTTTTAGATGGAAAAAGAAGGAGGAGAATAAGATGAGGATGAAGTTAAGATAAGGTAGAAGTGGAAGAGTTGAAGAAGAAGAAGAAGAAGAAGAAGAAGAAGAAGAAGAAGAAGAAGAAGAAGAAAAAGAAGAAGACAACGACGACGACATAATATACCCATTTGTGGTTATGTAATTCAGGGTTAAAAGCTGAAACAAAAGTTTTTTTATTTTTGCTGTACAGGACCAAGAAATTATCAAATACACACAGTGAAAAATTGTGTTAACCCAAAAGGAAGATTCTGTGATAAATATCCAGAAACTATTGACCATCTTGTATCAGGTTGTACAGTGTTATCACCCACTGAATATAAAATCCGGCATGATAGAGTGGGCCAATATCAGCATCGGGAAATATGCCGCGCTTACGGGAAGGAAACTGCAAGAAACTGGTTTGAACATCACCCAGAGTCGCTTAGAGATATTGAACCTGTAATAATTTTATGCGATTTTACAATATACACATACAGAACAATCAAAGCTAATCGCCCAGGTATCGTAATCAAAGACCACGAAAACAGAATGTGTTTTCTTACTGACATAGCAATGTACCTTTGACGATTTAAAAAAAAAACCCAAAAAACTATCAAATTACAAGGATCTAGAAGTGGAAGTCTCAAAAATGTGTCTCTTGAAGGCATGAATGATTCTAGGTATATGAAGGTATGAATAATTCTATGGATTTGATTAGAAAAAAAAGGATCCGATAGACAAAAAGAGGAAAGACACTTTGGAGAATTTGACACTCACTGGGCATATTGAAAACAGACGAGCCAGATGAAAGATGCAAATAACCTATCTAAGCTTACCCATGAATGCTTTGAGCATAAAAGATTTACGGTAGAGAAGGTAGCCTTAAAGAAATACACAGAATTGTACTCACAAGTACAGCGCACACATTATGAAGAGATTTATTTATGTAAAAAGTGTGTGATCTTAGGGAGTTTTGTTTGTATTTTTACAAAAATGGTCAATGGAAAATGTCATGAAAACATTTCTGACCATGTCTCTCGTTGTGATCTATGTGGAAATGTGCATATAACAGAAATCAAGGTAAATAATAATAATAATAATAATAATAATAATAATAATAATAAGAAGAAGAAGAAGAAGAAGAAGAAGAAGAGGAAGAAGAAGGAGGAGGAGGCAATTTTTTTGTTTGCGGACTTTAATAACGATGTCTGTGCGATTAGCTTTGATTGTTTTGTCTGTGTGTATTGTGTAGTCCCATAAAGTTGTAATAGGTCCTATCTTAGTAATCGGGTATGGCGGGTGTCCATACCAATTTCTTTCAGTTTCCGTAGAAATTAAAAAATGCCTCTTTATTGATATGGCAGTCCCTGCAGACTGCAATGTATCGTTGAAGATCTTCAAAAATTTAACAAAATACAAGGACCTTGAAATCGAAATCTCAAAAATGTGGCAAATAAGAACATGAAAAATATCTGTTGTAGTTGGAGCCCTCGGATTGATTTGAATGGACTCAGTGAAGGGATTCCTGATAGCCTATGCCTTAAAGAAATACAAAAGATTGTTCTCACGAGTAAAGCCCACACCTTATGAAGAGCTTTATCTATGTGTGTGTTTTAAATTGCTCAGTGGAAAATGATATGGTAATATTTATGACCTTAGGTCTCTGGTTGGGACCCGGAAAAATGAGTATCTAACAGAAATCAAAGGAAATAATAATAATAATAATAATAATAATAATAATAATAATAATAATAATAATAATTAGAAGAAGGGGATGAGTAATATGAGAATTATGAGGAGGTGAAATTAATAAAGATAGTGTGTAATAAAGAGCGAAATGAAACACGATATTCTAGGGATTGTTTTTTTGGAGATGATAATGATTTATTGATACAATTTCTACTAATTAACCCATAGCTGGGGGAGAAGAGGTGGATTCATAACTTTGCAAACACGATTGGTATTGAAACTCAACTCTCCAATTTTCAATCCCAAACAATTGTCCATGAAACCAGCCGCACATCCAAGATTACAGCAAGTGTTATCCCCAAGCAGTGATCCATCTAGGTACTGAACCCGCTCGATGTTGCAAAACTTCGGGGATCGCACGGGAATCGGTTTTTCAACGTGATATGTGCGTAAACCGATATTATTGGGAATACGGCAAGGGAAATTAAATGTTATTTTAAGAAAAAGAAGAGGAAAATGAAAAAAAAAATGAGAAGAAAGGTGAAGAGGACAAAGAAAAGGAAGATCAGAAGAAAAAAGAAGAAAAGTAGCAGGAAGAAGAAGAGGATGGGAAAGGAAAAGGGGGTTAGATGAAAGAAGAAAGAAAGAAAGAAAGAAGAGGAAGGAGAAGAATAGGACGAAGAATATGAGGAAGAAGAGGAGGTGGAGGAGGTGGAATAAGATGGGGGGAAAAAGAAGGAGAACAGTAGGGGAAGAAGAAGAAGAAGAAGAAGAAGAAGAAGAAGAAGAAGGGAAGAAGAAGGGGAGAAAGAAGAAGAATTTAAGAAGAAGAAGAAGAAGAAGAAGAAGAAGAAGAAGATTTTTAGATGGAAAAAGAAGGAGGAGAATAAGATGAGGATGAAGTTAAGATAAGGTAGAGGTAGAAGAGTTGAAAAAGGAGGAGGAAGAAGAAGAGTAGGAAGACGTGGGAGAAGGAAGAAAAAATTAAGACGGAAGAAGAGGAAGAAGAGGAAGATAAGACAAGCAAGAAGAGGGGCAATGGCAGGAGTTAGAAGAAGAAGAAGAAGAAGAAGAAGAAGAAGAAGAAGAAGAAGAAGAAGAAGAAGAAGAAGGGGGTGTGAGCTAGAAGGGAGAAAGAGAATATAAAGAAGAAGAAGAGTAAGAACAGGAAGTAGATAAGGAAGAGGAGGAAGAGTCGGAAGAAGAAGAAAAAGAAGAGGACGAGGAGGAGAAGTTGGAAGAAGGGGAGGAGGAAGAAGAAGAGTGGGAGGAAGCAGAAGTGGGAGAAGGAAAAAGAATTTTAGATGGAAGAAGAAAAGAAGAAATATAAGTATCAATTAAGCAAAGATGTGAATATGAAATTACTTCTGTCGAGAACAAACAAAAAATCGATGAAGAAAAGAAAAAGGAAGGAACGAATGAGAAATCCAAATAAATTGCAAAAGTAGAGAGACAAGAAATGCAAGGTGGGAAAAGGGACGTGTATACTCAAAGGAGAAAGGCAAAATTAAAGTGACCATGATAGTCACGGAAACGCTATCAACAACAGCCGAATAATCATGGGTAATAACTCTGACAAAGTTAATGCGATTGAATGACGAATCAACTAATTCATCCTCTCAGAGAGGCACGACATGCATTTCTCACCTCAGCTCAAAGGCTTTCTGAAATCCAATCATTACTTAATGCTAAAGACATCCACAAAATGAATACAAGCAGAGTGTAAACGTAGTTTAACATATCCATAGACAGTCTTGTCTGAACTGAACAGTTCAGTCAGGTTGATATGCACAGATGGTCAGGTATCGTCGGTTTTATCAACTCGGAATATCCAATAGGTTTATTCATTAAGAAATATTACAGTCGAGGTTTCAATCAAACTGCCGGGTTTATGATGCTGTTGAAGAGCCTAAACGAAATATATATAAAACTAGGCATATTGATTTTTCTGCTATTGCTTACACTTAAAGATGATTTTGTTATGTGGGTTCTTGCCAGACAGTATATTACCCGTATCTGATGCAGGGCTAACCTAGGGAATAAACATCTAGTTAGCCAGGGTAATGAAGTCAGACCGCCGAGTGTATATTCACCAGATCGGTTTACTTAGCCCTGTTAAGTGCGCGTTTGGTGCAAAAACGTATAACAGGTATATATATTTATATATATAATGTGTATATTTAGACAGCAATTTTTAAATAATGCATGTTTTATATATATATATATATATATATATATATATATATATATATATTTTAAATAATATAGACAAGTTTTGTCTATTTATTTTAAGTAAGTTCCTTTCATGTTGTCTGATAAGCTTAATAACATTATCATTGAAAGACGAAAAAATTACCATATTGATACACCTTTAAA